GAGCATTGTCAATACCCTTATTCTTGACAATACAATGACTAAGAACATATTTAGGAAAAAGACTTTGGTGCATAAGAATCTTATAATTATAACATTTATAATTTTTTTACAAGGCCATTATGTTCCAATGACTTTATCTACATAAATTTCTCATAACTTTTTATAAATAAACTTATGAATAAAGAAATACCTCATACATTATATAAAATATTCATAATTTATGTAACATGAAATATGACTAATTAATATAGTATTTTACAAACACAAAATCGATTGGCATGCAAGGCTTACACTAACATAAATACTAGCAATTACAATCTCCAAAGACTTATACAACTCTTTCACGTACTGTTTACTAGTCTAACAGAAGTTCTTTTGTTACTACCAACTATAGGCAAGTGCCGTTGTTTTGCACTTCCATTACAAAGGGTGAGTAAAATCAATTCAGGCTAATTATTCATTTAAATTAAATGTGGTTGGGTAAAATGATTCGGTCTAATTAGTTCATTAGATCAATTGATCCAAAATATTTGATTTAATTGGTTTTTTGGTTGATTTTTGATTTTAAAACTTTTGGACCAATCTATCTAAAAAACCAAACCAACTTATATACATATATATCTCATATTTTTTATATATTAAGAAGAATTGATAATAAATTTAATTAATAATATATTTAAAATATATTAAGATATTGTATATACTTATATAAATCATAATCATAGTAATTTAATATTAATTATATATATATATTTATTTATAAATCTATATTAATATAAGATTATAAGCTATATATTTTAAATGATATAAGTTATATGTTAATATTATAATATATGATAGTGAGTATCCTATATATTAATATGTTATAATTATTACATCATAGTAATGTTTCGTAGTATAAAATATTATGAATATATATAATTGTCTAAGTATATTACATATACATATATTTAATTTATACATAAGCATTACTATAATTTATAATAAATTTTATTTATATAGTTATACTTAATAATTTTATTAATTGTCACTTTAGTTTAATTGGTTTGATTTTTTTTTTCTATTTGATCGATATTAGTTGATTTTTTAAAGATGATTGGTCTATTTAATCTTTTAAGTATGATAAATCAAATCACTTAATACATTTACTTGTTCACTTCTATCCCTTAGTAACGTTAACCGTGGAAAGAAAGATTTGGAAGTAGCAGGATGTAATTGTAAGTAAGGCTCATTCGAAGGCACATCACGTTGAGAAACAATAAAAATCGTCTGGCCCTTTAATACGCCTCACTCCCTGCGCCATTAATCTGAACGTGAGGCAAGGAAGAATGTGCTATTAATCGAGGTGACATTTGTCCACAAGTCAAGCAGGATAAGTGTGAATGGATTGGGTTCGGTCCAAATAGAATCTGTGTATTGGTTTAAAAGAAAGTGGTCTCTTCAGCCCATTGTGGATGGTTTTAGCGGGGCCTAACTTAGTGTGGGAAGAAGAAGACGCATATAACAATAAGATAGTACCCATGTTGAAATTTGACTCTACCCAGTCATTCTTTTGCTGAATGTTGAACAAGACAGACATTGGGCCTGCCGTGTTTGACCCGTTTTCGAGGTGAGGTTCCTTTCCCTTGCGCCCAAGAAAAATTTTAAATTAAGTTATGGCGAAAGCGAATGCTGCGCCGTAAATGTAATTGGATGCCATATTCCTTGAGCAATTTGTAAAAGGGCAAAAGGTCAAAAGAAAGCACCAAAACCCCGTCTTGGTTTCATTTTCTCGTCTAGTAGCAGTCACTAGCGTGGTGTCTTCCTCCGCCTCCACCCTCCACCCTCCAGCCGGACCGGACCCCCTACCCCAGAAGCAAACAAGTCAAAAACCTTCAATGGAGGACGTCTGCGAGGGAAAGGACTTTTCTTTCCCTTCCCAAGAGGAGCACATCCTCTCCTACTGGTCCCATATCGATGCTTTCAAGGGTCAGCTGGCTCGCACCCAGAACATGCCCGAATACATTTTCTATGACGGTCCACCCTTCGCCACCGGCCTCCCTCATTACGGTCACATCCTCGCTGGCACCATTAAAGATATCGTCACTCGCTACCAGTCCATGACTGGGCATCACGTCACCCGCCGGTTCGGTTGGGACTGCCACGGCCTCCCTGTGGAGAGCGAGATCGACCGCAAGCTCGGAATCAAGCGCCGGGATCAAGTTCTCGACATGGGTATCGCTAAGTACAATGAGGAGTGTAGGAGTATAGTCACTAGGTATGTGGAGGAGTGGGAGAAGATCATCAGCAGGACTGGGCGTTGGATTGATTTCAAAAATGATTATAAGACTATGGATTTGAAGTTTATGGAGAGCGTCTGGTGGGTTTTTGGTCAACTTTACCAAAAGGGACTTATCTATAAAGGCTTTAAGGTCTGTTTTACAATTACATTCCATTTTTCTTGCTGATGGAATAGAAACATTCCTTACTTTAAACTGTCTGCCTTGATATGTTGTGTTGCAGGTCATGCCATATAGCACTGGCTGCAAGACCCCGCTATCTAATTTTGAAGCCGGTGAGAACTACAAGGTAATTTTGTTACCAATTTATTATCACTCTAATAATTTTTACTCAAGCTGGTCTAAGAATTTCGTTTTTTTTAGTTCTCAAATTATTTGTTATTGTTGGCGTTCTGAAAATGTTCCAAGATCAACACCAATACTATTTTCTTGTTAACCCCAATCATGTCTAACAATGCTTAATTCAATGTGCAGCTTGTGCCTGATCCTGAAATAATGGTCACTTTTCCCATAGTTGGTGCTCCAGATAATGCTGCTTTTGTGGCCTGGACAACAACACCATGGACCCTTCCTAGTAATCTTGCACTTTGTGTCAATGCCAACCTTGTCTATGTGAAGGTCTGTTAGCTTTCAGCTGTTAGTTATTAAGGTCATAAGCATGAGATGGATGAGTTGTCTATCATGTTGTATCTACTGCATGTTGGGTTGACGCAATACATTATCTTAATTTTAGCTAATACATAATACTGTATTACTTGATCTTCCACCAACTACCCTGCTTCTCCATCATACATCTGGTAGTCACTTTTTTTTCATTGGACATCTGTAGTCCTTTTAAACTTTGCTCATAATTGCTTAATTTATGTTTTATCCCCAAAGCTGTTATGTATCTCATCTATTGACATTGATGTTACTTTTACACAATAATGTTGAGCTGCATGAATCTTTAGGCCTCTTCCTAGCACTTTCTTGATTGATGCATGAGGCATAAATAAGCTGACCTTCTTAGACGGCATCTTCTGTTATTTCTAAGGCATATAAGTCAGGGAGTCTGAAATTTGACGTGGGTGTTTGTACATGCAAATGTAGATAAGGAATAAATTTTTTTCCCCTAAAGAAAATGTGGGTTTTGTAATCAAATTTCAGGTTTGCAATAAGTACTCTGGAAAAATCTATGTGGTTGCTGAGTCTAGATTATCTGAGCTTCCAACTGAGAAACCAAAGTCAAATGCTGCTAATGGACCTTCTGGTGATTCCAAGAAATCTAGGACCAAAGGATCTTCAGGTGAAAAGACTAAAGATTCTACAGCAGATTCCTATCAAGTCTTGGACAAATTTTCTGGGGCTTCGCTGGTGGGGACAAAGTGAGTATTCATGCGTATAGTTATCTATACTTTGTCCTAGTTGGCTTGATAAAAGAATTTTCTATGGGCTGTATACTAGCATTTCTTTTTGGGAATTGTGTTGGTAGTATCAAATTTCTGTTTTGAATG